TGTTGTTGTTGGGTTGTTAAGGGGTGACTCTCAGTTACACTTTAATCCAGCTCAACTTCCGATGAAGATAAACAGTTTAAAACAGACACAAACTCATAATACTTCAGTGTTTTATTGACAATATTTCTGGCAAAACAGTGAGTGTTATCTAGTAACAAAAAAGATCTACCTGAGCAGAGGCTACTTGGTTATATATAACGAAAAATAGTGCGGAATGGGCAAATGGTTTGTTTGCTGTGATAGGATAATGATGAAGTTAGTGACAAGGGTTGAGCTATGTTGTAAAGTCGTTGTGGGGTTGAAGTTGTTGGATATAAAAGAAAAAAGAGATTCTAAGATCTTGTGTCTTTAAGTGTCTTCTTTCCCCGGCAATGAATCTTTCGTCTTTGTAGTTGATTGAGTGGTTTTTTTAAGTTTCGGTGTAAGCACAGGCATTCTTAAAATCTTCCTTTCTGCTGTGGTATTGCTGTTCTGAAATAATTAGTAAGTTTATTCAGGTATACACAAATAAAGTTACATAGATTATCATACATAGCAGCATATGTGTAAAGTACCTGGGGTAACCTAAAAAAGTCAGAGTGACTTATTTCCCTTGGGGTCCTTTTACCTTAAATGTTATAATATAAATGGTGATAATTTCTTATTATTTTCACTTTAAAGGAGATATATTAGGGAAAAAGGGAAGACTACATGTGTGTTAGCTAAAAAAAAATTAAAAAACATTTTCCTCCCTTTCTGTAGCTATATTCATTAGGCACCTTTTGGCTTCTTCTTGAACTGGTTCATACTATGACTGGCTTGATATATGCGGGGAATTTTGTTTCCATTCACTTATTGATATACAATAAAAGGTGTTTGAAGCTTGACCACTAACTGTGGGTACTACAAAATTGTGCTCTGTCTCCCTAGGACTATGATTGCTTTGGTTCTGAGCCTTGACAGAATTGGCAGCAATATATTCTGGGCATTGTTTGTGAGCAATTTTATGAATTTGGTTTAACTTCAGTTTTTACTCTGTCTTCACATTCAGCATATTCCATTTGTTGTAATTCATCCTGGCCTACATGTTCTCTTGGATCCAGCCCCAGGATGAATTCTTACCATTTTGTTCTGGGTGATTTGCAGTCTATCTTTCATTTTATTGTCAAGGCGAGTACAATGAAGAGCAAGCATAGTCCATAATGACATTGTATAAGGACTAGCATAGGGTCCTGCGACCTCGGTAGGTAGACACTGTGCTTGTCTGTAGAGGAACTTCAGTCTGGCATTCGCTTTCTTTTTCTACACTGTTCTCTATCAATTCTCCTGACATGCATGGATTCCTAGATTTTCTTATTGAGGAAACTGAGGTGATGGGTTCCCCATTACACAGGGGCATTAAAAATTTTTTACCATTCTCAGTTTATGTTTCGAGCCAAAGAGTATGGCTTCAGTTTTTTCGAGGCATAACGATAATTTGTTATTACTAACCATTTGCTGCAGGACTCCAGCTCTTGTGTTAGCTATATCTTGTGGGTCTTTACCTGACACATAACAGAGCACTGTCATCTGCATACAGTTGGAGTTTGCACTTAACATGATGGATGTGTCATTAACACAACAAAGGAATAATAAGGGACTCGAATACTACATTGGGGGACTCCACATGTTATCGGCAGGAGGTTTTAATTCTGTTTTGTTGGTTTTTTACAATTGTCTCCTGTTGCTAAGGTAGGACTTAAACCAGTGTACGAACCAATGCCTAAACTGAAGTTTCTTACATAATATTGCTGTGGTTGACATTATCGAAGGCCTTTTGCAAGTTAAGGTTGTTAGGTAAGACACATATGCAACAGTTTTGGTATCTTTATTGTGAAACGTTTCGCCTACACAGTAGGCTTCTTCAGTCAAGTACAGAAAAGTTGATAGAAGCAGAAGATACTTGAAGACGATGTAAAACAGTCCATCACCCTTAAAGTTTTGAAAGGGGGTCAGTCCCTCTGAGGGACTGACCACCTCAAAACTTTAAGGGTGATGGACTGATTACATCGTCTTCAAGTATCTTCTGCTTCTATCAACTTTTCTGTACTTGACTGAAGAAGCCTACTGTGTAGGCGAAACGTTTCACAATAAAGATACCTAACTGTTGCATATGTGTCTTACCTAACAACTGTCGGTTATTTTATACCATTTAATGTTTAAGTCTAAGGTTTCCATTCCTATGAGGTTCCCCATCGACATTTAATTCTCATGTAATCCATCAGATTAATTAGGGAAGTGTCGGTTGAGTAAGATCTTCTAAAACCTGTTTGGGAACTTTGGAGAATGTTGATGTTATTAAGGTACTTAACAATTTGAACAGTACAACCGCCCCCTCTAGAAATTTTGGATTATTACACTGAGTTTCTAACGGCCTATAGTTACTTACATCAGACCTACTATTTTTCTTGAAAGGGTAGGAGTAACTCTGGCCTCCTTGAACTTTTTCCAGTACGGCATTAGTGGTGATGGAAAAATTTGTAGGTGAGCAATGGGAACTGGCGATTCAGAGATTAGATTTGTTTTAGATTTTGCACCGAAGTGGCTAGTTTATTGTGCACCCCATTCCAATTCCTGTGGACGGTAGCGCGAGAGCATATGGATACCAAAAGGCCCAGGGAACTAGGCCCAAAAAGGGTTAACAGGAATACATATGGATTTATTCTAATATTATAGTTCATTATCTGTTAAAGCCAATTTTTGGAAAATTTTTTAGTATATTGGTATTTATTTTCTTATTTTAAATTTTTTATTTGTACAT